ATCACCCTCTGAAATACAACATATGATAAATTAGAATTCACTCGAGCATACTCACACTCGACAATCCATCCCTCCTTGATTCTTGGTATTCCAAAGATTCTTATTTGGACCGTGCACCGCCCCGGTGATTTCAGTAGTACGGGCCCAATACTACTGTCAACACCGTCTCAGTACACACCCCAAATCTTCCTCTTCGGATCCCAAATCCCAAGTACTCTATCATGCGTAGACCACTCTCTAATAGATCTCTCATAAGCCCTTCGCTGCTACCTACTCACTCTCAAGCATCTCATAGCAGCTCACCTCTCCCTAGACTAAGGCATCACATATTAGGCCACTCTAGTCCTAATAGTAATACCTAGCCTACTCTAGCATGCAGATACATCATAACAATATCAATATTACATAATATAAAGGTATTTTGGGAAATCACCGTTCGGGCGCTGACTGATCGTACACACGTTTATTCCTTGAATTAGTTTCTTTTTCAAGAAAATCTTTTACTCTTAGAAAAGTTAAGTTTTCTTTTGAAATTATTTTTCCAAATCCTCAGTTTGAGTTCAAATACTCCTGAAGGTGTACTCGAATCCCTCAAACCAAGGCTCTGATACCAAATTGTAACACCATGAATTTCAAAACAAAATTTTCAAATTTTGCGTAAAACATAATTCATTTAATATTCATAAAACAACCATATTAATTATCCAACTCAAGTCAATACAACATCCCAATATCACATATGTATAAACTCCATGTGTGTGTGTACGGATCAAGCCGGCGCCTTCCCGCGGTCGTCACTAGTACATGAAACAATGACATCAAACACTGTAAGCACAAAGCTTAGTGAGTTCCCCAAAATACCACATATAACACATATTAGCCACTCGAGGCTATAACTCTGTGGGTCCGTGCACCCAAACTCTGTGAACCCTCAGGTTCTAACTCTGATAAACATGCACCACATAAATCACATAGAAATAATGCAGTACAACACATAACATACATAGCATACAAATACTCTATCACATAACCCTGGTTAGCTACTCAAGGTAAGGTATAGTGAGAAGACTCACCTCGCGTATCTCGGTATCTCACGAATCCTGGAAATCCATCGTGCTCGATCCCCCTAGCTCTAATCCTCCTATATCATCACATGCCTCTGATTAACACTTTATATTTCTACGGTTGACTATCCCTAAGAAGTCAACACAGGTCAACTCGAGTCAACAGTCAATGGTCAATGGTCAACTTTGACAGGACTCGGTGAGTGCGCTATGGCGACTCGGCGAGTCTAGACGTTTTCACCAACTCTCTAGAATTCCAGTTCTACACGTCGAGTACTCCCCCTGACTCGACGAGTTCCATCTGGAAGAATCGTGGGGCCACCCCGACTCAACTCACCGAGTCTCAAGAACAACTCGGCGAGTCCCAGTTCGACTCAGTCCACCTGTCGTCCCTCTCTAACTCACCCTGACTCACTGAGTCAACCTATGACTAGATTGGACCACTCACTGGGCGAACCCAAGGCAATATTCAAACTAGTCGCCGAGTCTGTTCATGGGACTCGGCGAGTCCATGCCATGCAACCACTCCAACTTGCTTCTAAGGTCAGATCTGCTTCCACAATCTATAGATATGGCCTCCCTAGACTGATTCATCACGTAAAGCTCCCAGCTTGGTGTCCATAACACACCCCATGGCTCATAAATAGAATTTTGACCTAAGGCATAAGGATTCCAATCCAAAACCTCCATTGATTCCCAAAAAGCTTGGGCAAAGGGACACTCTGGACCTCCAAGGGTCCAGATCTGTGGTTTAAACCACATAAGGGACTAAGGGGGCACTAGATCTTGCCACAAGAGGGTTCAACAAACCCTAAATCAAAATAACATCAACAAGGAAGAAGATAACTCGAAATTATTACCACAATAGTGATGCTCTGGACTCCAAACTCTCAGAAGTGGCTCCACTTGCTTTCCCTTAGCTAGTTCTCTCTTTCCTTGCCAAAATGACACCTCCAAGATCAATAATGGCCTCCTACTTTGCTCCAAACGCTCACACTCGATTAGGGTTTCACTCAAGGGACTGGTGAGCACAAATGACGGCCATAAGGCCCTTTAAATAGGTCCCAAACCTGAGAAATTAGGGTTTCATTACACAGCACGGACTCGCCGAGTCCAGGCGCGATCCCGCGCCCAGATCCGCGACCCTACTCGGCAAGTCTGAGCTCCAACTCGCCGAGTCCCCTCTAAGAACACCAAAATCATAAACATAAAGGATACCTGGAAATCCAGCTGTTACAGGCAGCAAGCAAACCCATATTTGGTGTTGGTACGATGCAGAATGATAATTGAACAGGAAAACTTGTAGGCTTTAGTTAGATGAACACTCCAACGTTGTACAATTGATTGGTAAAGTGAATGAGTTTCATTTTGTTTTGGCTGTCAATTTAGGAGGTGTATTTGATTTTAACTTTGCAAACAATGTATTGATTTTATCATTCATGATTCATGTATTTGGGTGACGCATTGGTTTAATTATTTATGTATTTGCTTGGATTTAGAAACAATGTAACACCCCAATTATTTGTGCATTGGTGTGTGTGTGGATGTATTATACTAGTTATACACACAAGTATACATATTTGGATAATAAGGTGCATATTATACATGTATTTTTGTATGTATTAATATATTGCACTGGTTTATGTATAGATGGTATTATATAAAGTGTAGGAGCTGACCATTCTTGTATTTAGATATATATTTAAACATTTAAGACATGTGTATATCTATTAATAACCTTTTATATAATTGATATACCTATTCAATAATGCTTTTAATTTATACAATTTTGATGTATATATAAAAACTCGGTGTGAGATCTATGTATTAAATGAGTTTAATAAAAGAAAATATGAAATTTTAACAATTTGAAAAGTTTGAATTTATAAGAAAAATGAAAAAAAATGAATTATTAAAATTATTTAAACTTTAATGTTTTAAATACATTACATATATAAACTCTTTCTAATAAATACTTTACATATATATTACCTTACAAATTAAATGTGGAATTTTAATTTAATAAAATAAAAAATACAATAAAATGACAAGTAAAAATAGAAAATTTAAAATTTTTAGAAAATGCTAAGTGTCCAAATGAAGGAGAAGATGACATGTGACAAAAAAACCTTCATTTATTATAGTAGATTTACAGGTTTTCTACTAACAACAATAATACTTTTAAAAGTCTAAAAAATATTTTCTTTGTATGTATAACAATAGTTAAAAACTATGTTTGCAAAGAGTCTTTGAAATCCAGAATGTATCTTTGTATACGTAAATCTGTACTTTACAATTATGTTTGTAAAGAATCTTTGAATGTCCTTGAAAACAAAATTATACTGTTTCATTAGTAATTCTATACTTAAAATAGTTTTGAAAGCAACCACGCCTATGGTTTGCAGTGAGTGAGTGAGAGAGAGAGAGAGAGAGAGAGAGATTCTAGTTAACGTAATGTTTATAGTGAGTCTTATAACCGAGCTATGTAACTAAATGTACCCCATACAACGCTTCATTAGACGTTGTAGTAATGATTGTAGACACTTATCACCCGTTTTAATTGATCCGTCGAGGTTTTAGCTAGCAATTGTAGGTGAGGATGTCAACCCCATATAGATTTATACATATATATCTCGCTCCCAAGATTAACAATTATAATAGTGTGTGTATGCTAAATGTTTATAGCCAACTAATGAATATAGTCTCACTAAAAATCCCTTAACCAAAGCATGTGAATGGCTCTAAACCTAACTTAATTGTGATTAAGTTACTAGGCATAAAGAATTTCATTGTATTATAAAATCCGAGTATGCTTGGTATGTATGTAAAAGTGTAATGTACTCGCTTTTATAAATATGTATGTTTCACAGTAATGAACATGTGTATATGTATAAACTTTATGTATTTAAACATATAAATATACATGAATAGTAATAGCTTGAATCGTTGAAATACCACCAAGTTTTATAACGTACTTGTTATAATATACAATGTCACATAAAAATCATATACTTTTGTATTATGTAGCATTTGTTGTTTGTTATTTCACGATAAAATAATCATAATTTGTATACGAAAAGTTTATGCCATTTTATTTCTAATGAAATGTTTCCTTGTTAAATAACATTTTTATAAACTATGATTATTGTATTTCACATGAAAGGATAAGTAGTTTGTACAAACAAAGTATATAGACACATGTATCTCCCCTCGAAATAATTAGAAATATTAAAAAGTGGCCGTAATCACTCACCCTTGGAGCGTGAGTTCGAGTTGTTCAAATTCGATTTCTTTTGAGAAGCTTGATGTGAGAAACCGCAAAACAACATTTATTGAGTTAAAATAACCAATGGGACCATTTTGTAGTATTTTTTTTTAACCAAAGGGGATGTTTTAAATAAACCAAACTATCGAAGGGCTGATTTGGTCAAAATAATACAACAATGGTTGTTTTTATTATTATTATTATTATTATTATTATTATTATTATTATTATCACAATGAGGGGCTGATTTGAACAAATGGGTTTAATATTTGGGGGGTTTGGGACTGATTTCTAATGTTTTGGTCAAATGGGGGTTAATGTTGTCATTTCTAAAAGAACTTAAAAGGGATTAGGGGGGTGTTTGGCTTGTCTTTTGAAAGGGCAAAAGTCCTTTTTGAAAAAGATAAATGACAAAAGATGTTTGGTAAATATATTTTAAAAGTGACTTTTGGATTTTAGATAGAAGGAAAAATGACTTTTTGAAAAAGTTAGAAAAATCTGATTTTTTGTAACTTTTCCAAAAAGTTCTTTTCCTCTGGAAAAGACAAGTCAAACACTCCTAGGGCTTTTATGCCCCCGTCTTTGATCTAATCGGGCCATTTTAAAGGGAATATGAACGGTCAAGGAGTCACGGTAGTCAGGCAGGAACACGATGGAGGGTGTGAGGTCCGATGGATTCCGATCGATTGCAGACTGAGGTTGTGTTTCCGGTGTCGATGAGACCGAAACGGCGAAGGAACGAAGCAGCGAGCTCGTGCTCCCTCTCGTTCGGCTACGAGGTGCAAAGTCCGGTCGTCGCAAGCAGCAGTAGCATCGAAGACGAGGCCTTCGGAGGTCTGTGGTCGATGGGAACAGTAGAGAAAGAAAGCGAGGGGAGGAGGTCCGAAAAAGAGTCAGGGATTGTCGATCGGTGGTGTTTCGGTCCGGCTGTGAGGTGCGAAGGCATGGGATTCGGTGTGGCTAAGAAGTTGCGATGGGCAGGAGGCCAGGATAGGGTTCAGTTCGAACAAGGAAATCAGGGGGGAACTTAGGTGGGTTTTTCTCGACGGGAATAAGGCGAAAGGTCTCCGGTAACTTTCTTGCTCTCTCTCTCTCTCTCTCTCTCTCTCTCTTTCTTAATGTTTGACAGTGATCGATAGGGTTGTTTGGGTTTGATGTTTCACAGGGAGAGAGGCAACCTCGAAAAACACCCACTTCAGTGGTGTGTTCTTGACTGAAAATAAAAAAAGAATGAAGAATAGCAACAAAATCTGCACGGGGTGTTTGGCTTCAGCTGGAAATGATGGTGATCAAAAGGTGTTGGAGTGTTGTTCTCCTTTTGCTTGAACGATCAATGGAAGGGAATGGCAGCAAGCAAACCCATATTTGGTGTTGGTACGATGCAGTAGGATAATTGAACAAGAAAACTTGTAGGCTTTAGTTAGATGAACACTCCAACGTTGTACAATTGATTGGTAAAGTGAATGAGTTTCATTTTGTTTTGGCTGTCAATTTAGGAGGTGTATTTGATTTTAACTTTGCAAACAATGTATTGATTTTATCATTGATGATTCATGTATTTGGGTGACGCATTGGTTTAATTATTTATGTATTTGTTTGGATTTAGAAACAATGTAATACCCCAATTATTTGTGCATTGGTGTGTGTGGATGTATTATACTAGTTATACACACAAGTATACATATTTGGATAATTAATAAGGTGCATATTATACATGTATATTTGTATGTATTAATATATTGCACTAGTTTATGTATAGATGGTATTATATAAAGTGTAGGAGCTGGCCATTCTTGTATTTAGATATATATATTTAAACATTTAAGACATGTGTATATCTATTAATAACCTTTTATATAATTGATATACCTATTCAATAATGTTTTTAATTTATATAACTTTGATGTATATATAAAACTAGGTGTGAGATCTATGTATTACGTGAGTTTAATAAAAAAAAATATATGAAATTTTAACAATTTGAAAAGTTTGAATTTATAAGAAACTAGGTTATAACCCGTGTGCTACACGGTTAACTAGGTAAAGCAATATAAAGATTTAAAATCGTAATCATTAATCATACATTTGGAAAACTATTATTTTTATATATAGTTTCATGTTTTGTCTGAAATGTATCATCTTTCTTTTTAAATAACATGTAAAATGGTTTTCAAAATATCAATTAAAAATCACAATGTTATACAATGAAATATAAAATCCAATAGATTGAAAATAAGTTGATGTGAAGAAACATATATAAAATGGTCTATATTTATATGTATTACATAAATAGTCAATGGTTATAATTATACTGGAATTATAGAAACAATACCAAGTTTTAACTATAAATAAATTACAAAAATGGTCCACGTTTATACAATTGCCAAAAATGGTCATTGGTTTTAATTGTAAAGATAGTCAATGTTATAAATTTATTCATATTATGTAAAAAAATAAATAAGAATTGATTAAAATGATTACTTGTATCTAGCATTAGTCCAAGACAAAGTAGATTGCTATTTATTATAGTTATATGGGTTGACAACTTAAACTAACATAAATAATAATAATAAACGATTTGCTATAAAAGAATAGACAAAGAAAATGTATATAAGAAAAAAATGAAAGAAAAAAATAGTTTGTAAATCGGCATTTTATGATGGAACCAAGTTATAACCATAAAATTTTGGTAGACACATGACAATAGCCACAATCGTACAGGAAAATAACCTAATGTTTTACTAACAATCCAAAATGTAAGGTAATCCAAATACATAGTATATTATTTTATTTTTCATTTTAAGTGGGTATAATTAAGAAAAAAAATAGTAAGAATGACCAAATTGACCAAAAATATCATTATGACTAAAAATTTATAATTTTCTGCTTTAAGTGTTTCATAACCGTGTAAGGTTTATTTTAATTCAGTTTTAAGTGGTCCAAATAACCAAAAAGAACAAAATGAACAAATTGACCAAAAAGGTCAAAATTATCATTTCTAAAAAAGTATACTTTATGCTTTAAGAGTTTCATATCATTATGACATGTTCTTTATTCAATTTTAATTCATCGAGAAATGATAAAAAGGAATAAAAATGGTGAAAAACCCAAATGGACCAAAAACACAAAAAATGATCATTTTCACCAAAAAACTTCTACTTTTTGTTACCAATTTTTCATATAATTTCAAAGTTCTTTTGTGTTTCGTTATAAGTGCTACAAATGACCAAAACATTAGAATTTGTAATTAGCAGTGTACTTTATATAATAATAAATATGATGCTAAATTGGACATAAAAATGAAAGTAAACTACTATTTAGTGCATTTAGCTGAACCTTGGGCTAAATGTACTAAATAGCAACATACTTTCATTTTTATGTCTAATATAACATTATACTTTTTATTATAAAAAGTACATTGTTAAATAAAAGTTAATAGTCCCTGTTTAAAAATTATAGGAATGGTCCCTGTGCTAAACAAAATAGTTGTACGAATGGTCCCTAATTAAATAAATGTACAACAATGGTCCTTGTATAAAATATAATGCATAACTGGTCCTTGTTTAATGAAATTATCATAAACGGTTTGTGCTTCAAAACATGCATAATTCTTCAAAAAGACCTAATTGACCAAATTAAACCAAATATGCGGTTGAAATTTCGAAAAAGGAAAAAAATGGTCAAATCACCAAATTGACCAAAATGTTCAAAATGACAATTTTGAGAAAAAAAAAATTAAACTTCCTGTTTTAAGAGTTTCATATCAGAGTATTGCTTTTTTCAAGTTAAAGTTGGCCAAATTATGAAAAAGAAAAAAATGGTAAAATGACCAAATTGAACAAAAAGGTCAAAATGGTCATTTTGACTAAAAAAATCTTAAAAAACCATACATTCTATTTCAAGAGTTTCATATCACTATTTTTTTTTCAATTTAATTGACCATAACATGAAAAAAAAACCACTAAAAACGCTATATATATATATATATATATATATATATATATATATATATATATATATAAGTGTCACCACTTGCATCGTATTTTATAGCAGTCTACTTGCATTACCCGGAATCTAAGTATGTGTACATGTGAAATTTTACAGTCGTATAACATTCTACTTAAATAGGCGAATAATCAAATATTTGCAAAAAAAAAAAAATTATTAATTTTCAAAGATACTGGTAAGTTTATTTTGCTATTGATATAGGGGCAACAAATGGGTATAGAGCAACAAATTGGATAAAATGTAAATAAGGTTGAAACAAATAAAATTACAAAACAATTGGCAAACCAAAGCTAGAATTGATGAAAATATGATATCAAAATAATAGTACTAACCACCAACAACCTAATCTTTTTTCTTGATGTCCAGTAGGATAAGATAACTCCATATCACTTCTGTTCCATACTAAATTAATACAATTTCAAACTTTCAACAATAAAATTTAAGAATGTATATATTAAGGACACCAAGAAAATTTAAACCTTTTCACTTATTTTAAAGACTAAATTGGTGAATATTTTGAATGAACCTATCAAAAAAATAAAAGGTTTACCATGAGAGGATTCAACATTTAGGATCATTATAATGATAAGGAACTTGGCTACTCAAACAACAGAGGTTGAAATCATCAACTTCACAGAAAAATCAATTCCCATGTAGTCTGCAAAACATGAAATCCAAGATTTGTCCTCTTGTCAGACCCACTGATTTCCTCACTGTATGTCATCAAAAATAAAATAAAAAAAAGAATCTAAATTTTGAAATTAAATTTAATGCCATATTACCAATTTAGTACTAATCAAAAAAATCCATTGAATAACCATGCCATGTTATCTAACATATATCCATGTCATATTACCCTACTCATCTTTTCTACTTGAACTTGAAGGATCACAATATATCTAAGGCAACCAACAATGGAATTTGAATTCAATAAAGATTCATCTAAAAAGATTATTAAATTTCAACTAACCAACGAAACCTCCAAAAAAAAAACTCTTTAACTATCTTATTTAATGAATTTTAAAACACCCCAAAAGAAACATCCATAATACAATCTAAAAGCATACTGATTTTTTTCTCTCAAGCATTTCAACAAACAAATAGTAGACGAATCTTGAACTTGATATTTTCAAGAGATGTAACAAAATAGTTTCAATTAATTGAAAAAATTCTCATCAGTTTTTTGTTACCTTCATTAAAGTCTTACACCTAGAGTGAAGAGAGGGTAGTTGAGCTTACTTGAAGGAAACAATCAAACATGCCACCATGTTCTATTTTCATGAGAGCTTGATTCAACTCTATATTTCTCTCCTATAAAAGGCCATCAAGATATTCAAACTAATAAACAAAAAAGATTTGTATTCAAGAGTAAATGAAACATGAATCCTAGAAAAATAATATTCAAAGTAATATGATGGCATCGAACATTTTTCATGTTAATTGAGATTTAATCATAAGAGACATAAATCACAAAAAAATAAGGTATATTTCTAGTAAACTTCAAGTAACAAAGGATGCTGTCACCAATAAAACCATCTTCAAGTACCAGAGGATGATGCATCCATTTCATCCTGGCCAAAATATGAAAGCTGCAAAATTTAAAAGCATATTAGTTTAATTTTGGATACTAAAACATAATAGAAAAACAAAACAAAGGACATTCAATTTAACTTCAATCCACTATCATGTTAAATATGCAGAGTAAAATTGTAATCTATAACAACTGGTATCAGATTGATGCGATCAATCTGAAATAGAAGCATAGTTGTTTCGATCTGAACAATGATAAGAACGGTTAATTCAAGAGTAGACAGAACAGAAAGAATTAATTGTGTTGTGCAATCGAAATTTGGTAATGTTTAAACTTAAATCGGATCACTAAAAGAAGATAAAAGTAATGAAACTGTCGGAGCTATTAATATGCATATCCAGAATTTTACCTTCAAAGTCGATGTACCTTCAAAATCGATGCTTATGGTGATTCTGGAATGCTTTAGCTTCAAAAACTTAACGGGAGGCAGTTGGGTTTTCCAAATTGTAAGGGTTTAAAAGAGTGTGTGGCAGTTTAATCAAGATCTAGAGGATTTAGTTTTGAAGTTTGGCGAGAATTTGAGGGACTTGGGTTTTAAATTTGGCCATAGACTTTTGGTTATGGAAGATATGAAAAATGTGAATTAATATATGTTTTTGGTTTGAGCGGAATTCTAGAAGTAGCTGATAGATCAGACGGTTTCGAGGGTTCTGGAAGCACTTGATGGAGTGACGAAGGTGATGGCAAGCGACGACTTAATGGTGGCAGTGGTCATCTAGGGTTTGTCTGGTGAAAGAGAGAGTGTAGAAGATGAAGTAGAGATATAAAAACGAAGAAAGACAATATATGGAGTAAGGAGCGACGATTGTTCCTGATTTTATGGGATTCGAATGATTAATTAATGTATATAAAGTATCTTACAAATTGGGATTGATGTATAACAGTTGCTGGTTTTATGGATTCAGTGAATGGGCGGGAAAGTTTTGTGTTAATTGATTCACATAATTCCACGTGGCGGATTGTTAGTCTAAAAGAATGCCAAGTTGATTGTAGGAGAGGTTTTTATTAGGAGTAGAGATGAAAAAAAAAAGAATTATTAAAATTATTTAAACTTTAATGTTTTAAATACATTACATATATAAACTCTTTCTAATAAATACTTTACACATATATATATATATATATATATATATATATATATATATATTACCTTACACATTAAATGTGGAATTTTAATTTAATAAAATAAAAAATACAATAAAATCACAAGTAAAAAATAGAAAATTTAAAAATTTTAGAAAATGCTATGTGTCCAAATGAAGGAGAAGATGCATGTGGCAAAAAAACTTTCATTTATAATTTATTATAGTAGATTTACAGGTTTTTTACTAACAACAATAATACTTTTAAAAGTCTAAAAAATATTTTCTTTGTATGTATAACAATAGTTAAAAACTATGTTTGCAAAGAGTCTTTGAAATCCAGAATGTATCTTTGTATACGTAAATCTGTACTTTACAATTATGTTTGTAAAGAATCTTTGAATGTCCTTGAAAACAAAACTACACTGTTTCATTAGTAATTCTATACTTAAAATAGTTTTGAAAGCAACCACGCCTATGGTTTGCAGTGAGTGAGTGAGAGAGAGAGAGAGAGAGAGAGATTCTAGTTAATGTAATGTTTATAGTGAGTCTTATAACCGAGCTATGTAACTGAATGTACCCCCTACAACGCTTCATTGGACGTTGTAGTAATGATTGTAGACACTTATCACCCGTTTTAATTGATCCGTCGAGGTTTTAGCTAGCAATTGTAGGTGAGGATGTCAACTCCATATAGATTTATACATATATATCTCGCTCCCAAGATTAACAATTATAATAGTGTGTGTATGCTAAATGTTTATACCCAACTAATGAATATAGTCTCACTAAAAATCACTTAACCAAAGCATGTGAATGGCTCTAAACCTAACCTAATTGTGATTAAGTCACTAGGCATAAAGAATTTCATTGTATTATAAAATCCGAGTATGCTTGGTATGTATGTAAAAGTGTAATGTACTCGCTTTTATAAATATGTATGTTTCACAGTAATGACACATGTGTATATGTATAGACTTTATGTATTTAAACATATAAATATACATGAATAGTAATAGCTTGAATCGTTGAAATACTACCAAGTTTTATAACGTGCTTGTTATAATATACAATGTCACATAAAAATCATATACTTTTGTATTATGTAGCATTTGTTGTTTGTTATTTCACGATAAAATAATCATAATTTGTATACGAAAAGTTTATACCATTTTATTTGTAATGAAATGTTTCCTTGTTAAATAACATTTTTATAAACTATGATTATTGTATTTCACATAAAAGGATAAGTAGTTTGTATAAACAAAGTATATAGACACATGTATCCCCACTCGAAATAATTAGAAATATTAAAAAGTGGCCGTAATGACTCACCCTTGGAGCGTGAGTTCGAGTTGTTCAAATTTGATTTCTTTTGAGAAACTTGATGTGAGAAACCGCAAAACAACATTTATTGAGTTAAAATAACCAATGGGACCATTTTGTAGTATTTTTTTTTAACGAAAGGGGATGTTTAAATAAACCAAACTATCGAAGGGCTGATTTGGTCAAAATAATACAACAATGGTTGTTTTTATTATTATTATTATTATTATTATTATCACAATGAGGGGCTGATTTGAACAAATGGGTTTAAAATTTGGGGGGGTTTGGGACTGATTTCTAATGTTTTGGTCAAATGGGGGTTAATGTTGTCATTTCTAAAAGAACTTAAAAGGGATTAGGGCTTTTATGTCCCCGTCTTTGATCTAATCGGGCCATTTGAAAGGGAATATGAACGGTCAAGGAGTCAAGGTAGTCAGGCAGGAACACGATGGAGGCTGTGAGGTCCGATGGATTCCGATCGATTGCAGGCTGAGGTTGCGTTTCCGGTGTCGATGAGACCGAAACGACGAAGGAACGAAGCAGCGAGCTCGTGCTCCCTCTCGTTCGGCTGCGAGGTGCAAAGTCCGGTCGTCGCAAGCAGCAGTAGCATCGAAGACGAGGCCTTCGGAGGTCTGTGGTCGATGGGAACAGTAGAGAAAGAAAGCGAGGGGAGGAGGTCCGAAAGGGAGTCAGGGATTGTCGATCGGTGGTGTTTCGGTCCGGCTGTGAGGTGCGAAGGCATGGGATTCGGTGTGGCTAAGAAGTTGCGATGGGCAGGAGGCCAGGATAGGGTTCGGTTCGAACAAGGAAATCAGGGGGGAACTTAGGTGGGTTTTTCTCGACGGGAATAAGGCGAAAGGTCTCCGATAACTTTCTTGCTCTCTCTCTCTCTCTCTCTCTCTCTCTCTCTCTCTCTCTCTCTCTTTTTCTTAATGTTTGACAGTGATCGATAGGGTTGTTTGGGTTTGATGTTTCACAGGGAGAGAGGCAACCACGAAAAACACCCACTTCAGTGGTGTGTTCTTGACTGAAAATAAAAAAAAAGAATGAAGAATAGCAACAAAATCTGCACGGGGTGTTTGGCTTCAGCTGGAAATGATGGTGATCAAAAGGTGTTTGAGTGTTGTTCTCCTTTTGCTTGAATGATCAATGGAAGGGAATGGCAGCAAGCAAACCCATATTTGGTGTTGGTACGATGCAGTAGGATAATTGAACGGGAAAACTTGTAGGCTTTAGTTAGATGAACACTCCAACGTTGTACAATTGATTGGTAAAGTGAATGAGTTTCATTTTGTTTTGGCTGTCAATTTAGGAGGTGTATTTGATTTTAACTTTGCAAACGCATTGGTTTAATTATTTATGTATTTGTTTGGATTTAGAAACAATGTAATACCCCAATTATTTGTGCATTGGTGTGTGTGGATGTATTATACTAGTTATACACACAAGTATACATATTTGGATAATAAGGTGCATATTATACATGTATTTTTGTATGTATTAATATATTTTTTTGTATGTATTAATATATTGCACTAGTTTATGTATAGATGGTATTATATAAAGTGTAGGAGCTGACCATTCTTGTATTTAGATATATATTTAAACATTTAAGACATGTGTATATCTATTAATAACCTTTTATATAATTGATATACCTATTCAGTAATGTTTTTAATTTATATAACTTTGATGTATATATATAAAATTAGGTGTGAGATCTATGTATTACATGAGTTTAATTAAAAATATATATATGAAACTTTAACAATTTGAAAAGTTTGAATTTATAAGAAAAATGAAAAAAATTGAATTATTAAAATTATTTAAAGTTTAATGTTTTAAATACATTATATATATATATATATATATATATATATATATATAAACTCTTTCTAATAAATACTTTACATATATATTACCTTACACATTAAATGTGGAATTTTAATTTAATAAAATAAAAAATAAAATAAAACGACAAGTAGAAAATAGAAAATTTAAAATTTTAGAAAATGCCAAGTGTCCAAATGAAGGAGAAGAGGATATGTGGCAAAAAAACCTTCAATTATTATAGTAGAAGATATGTGTGTTTGGAAATAATTTTGACTCCAAGATTTATTATATATGATTGCTATTATTTTTTGGAATTCATGAATTGCTTATGTATACAAACATATGTATATGTCTCCAACCATTTAAGAACTAATTCTTTCATATTTTTATAATTATTTTCTAACTTTCTCGATTTGTGTGACATTGATCTTGATATCAAATATTTTTTCTGAAAAATGAAGAATAATGGAATTCGTTACAAGGATTCCAAAAAATCAGACGGAATTGGGATGTCACATTACCTCTCCGTTAAGAGAATTTCGTCCCGGAATTATTTAGTTCTACATTATTTTGTTCCACTATCATTTTGTTCTACTAGTAGAGGGAGCACTGTTGAATAGTTCCGGATACTTTTGTTTAATTTGGTCCTCATGTTCCCAAGTAAACTTCGGTTCTATACAAGAATTCCATCGGGATTTACTATAGGTATGCGGCTTTGTTTGAGGCTTTTGATTTCTCGATCCGTGATCTTCTTCACTTCATTCATGAAGTAACGTTTAGTGTTGACCTGGATCTTATCGAGATGAAACACAAGGTTCTCATTAGAGAGACACTTCTTAAAACTAGTGGAAGGTATTGTGAACTTTGTTGAGTTCGTAAGGTAAATTGAGTTTGTAAGCCATGAGGCCAATCCTTTCTGGGATTACACAAGGTCCAATGTAATGGGGGTTTAGATTACCCCATCTTCCAAATCAAGTAACACCTTTCCATAATGTGACCTCTAGTAGAAAACAATCTCCTACTTTAAATTCTATGGGTTTGCGTCTCACGTCAGAATTATCATCTAGGCGCAGTTACCAGAATTATGATGTTCTCTATCAGGCACTGTAACGCCCCGGTTTTTCTCGGTACATTTGGTTATTTTAATTTAATTATCCTTGTAACCTTGGGTTAATTTATTTAACCAATGCCTAATGTTTATGTTATTGGACTTTTTTTATCATCTTGTAAACTCCTTTTATTGAAGTCCATGGACTATGGGCCTATTTGTAAAGTCCATCTAGTAAATAGTACTTAATATGTAAATTGAATCATTTGGAACACACACAAGGAAAACACTCTAAACCCTCCCTCTCTCTCAAAAATCGTACCTCTCTCTCTTTGGGATCAAGAGCAGCCAAGGGGCTGTTTGGAGCTTAATTCTTGTTCATTTCCAGCCTTGATTCGTATTGGTATGAACCTCCTTATCCTTTCTTACAACTTGATTCATAACCTTGTTCTAGTTTTATGATTTCATCTTCACTTCTTCTCCTTCTTATTTGATTTGTAATTGTGTGTTATACATCATCTCAATATCCTATCTTCACCCCATATATGGTGGATGATGGATCTAGGGGATTACATGTGGCAAAAGATCATGGAAACCCTAAAAGGGAGAATGATGATTTTATGTGCTTATGTTTATTTTCATGTTGATTATTATTACATCCTTGTGGCTAAATGAAATCCTAATGATCCCTAACCCTTTTTAGTACCACCATTATCATGGGGACTGAATTGGGATGATGAACACATCTTAAAATGTGTTTCAAAAGGAGAAGGATGGATAAGCCAAAAAGGAATCGCGGGTGGCTACGATTCTGTTTTCCATCAGATCTGTAGTCATTTTGTAAAAATCACATCTGAAGCTCTAGAACTCAAACGGACCCCAAACCAGTTCCAAAAGTTCACAAATTGAGTTGGCTAACTTTCTTAAGCAGGACAACCTCACTGATAAGGGCTTTATCTATGTGGAATAATAGCATCTTTGCTGTTAGGTCTGATCCGGGTCTGTTCTGATATGTCATTTTGTTTTCATCATTTCTAAGGCTTGGAAAAGGATCCAGAGTGATTCCAAGTTTCTATATGTTCCTTATATTATGAATTTAAGATCTAGATAATATGGGGTGTTATTTACAATTATAAATTGGTTAGAATGGATCCACACTCCAGGTCAGTGGGCAGTCACCAGCTTTTGCTAGTGCTGTGATTGTCCACAATGTGAATTTTATATCTGGAGTTTGAGAGATGATTTTCATTCAATTCCAACTCTGAGACTTTCACTTGTATGTCCTTTAATTCTCTTAATTTTGTTTTGGACGAATTCTACTCACAAGTTGGGTAGAATTGGCCAACATCACTTGACTGTATTGTTGGAGACAGAAGTGATACACCATTTTGTAAAATTCATATTTAATTCATCTTTTGGAGTTAGAATGAGTTCTTTATATTTGTGGAATCCTAAGCAATCATAGTTTCCTATAAAATTTAGTTAAAGCTATGTTTCTGTTTTAGATTTTGGAGTAAATCCGTTTTGAACAGCAGGTCTGTTTTAGAGACCTTGCTGTGATCACTCTTTTCTCAACTCATAGCTTCATTACTTCTCCTTTCTAACCTTTAGTCCTTCTTAGGTGAGGTTTTGAAGTTTGCTCAAGCTTGGTAGCATTATTTGATTGTTATCCATCCTTAATACTCACTCAAGGTGAGTTCTCTCACACCGTTGTATTGATGATTGTGTTTGCTAGTTAGCTCGTGTGTGATTATTTGAATTTATTATAAAAGCATGCTATATAAGTATTGTTTTAATTCGTACATGTGCACTGTATGTAACTAATTATGGATATGGGGACACCACCAAAGGATACGGATTTACCGGTGCGGTGGGTAGGTAAGATCACCAACGTAATACTCTTCGTGAGGTGCGGTGATTAGGGCCAAATGATACGGGATCTTCCCGGTGCGGTTCAAACCTACAAGTCCTTCTCGTAATATAGACATTGATTTGTTCTTTGCCTTTATCATATAATTATAACTGGAAAATGGATTAGGGCTAGTAAATATGAATGTTAGTACAATGTCTGTGTTTGAATTCACTAAGCTTCGTGCTTACGTTTTTCCTTATAACTTTTCAGGTGTTAAGATTAAAGAGGCTAAGGCTTAACATGGAGCATCGGGACATCGCTACTAGTTATTTTGTTGGGACCTTATTATTATTATTACTTCCGCACTTATTTTATATGATTATTAAGTTGATGGATTATGTTATGACTCTTTCAGTTGTTTTAATTTAATTTAAGAGGGGTTTTAAAAGTTTAAAATTTTTGCAAAAAAAAAAAAAAAAAAAATTGGGTGTCACAGGCACAGTTGTTGATATTATCATTTAGGCATAACTACCAGAATTATGATGTTCTCAATTAGGCGCAGCTGCCAATATTACCCTTTAGGCCCAGCTGCGAGGATCGTAGTTCAAAAACATCTACAGGTTGTGGCGCATGTGACAACCTGAAATTTCCATTATGTACAAACAATATCACTTCAATAGAAGTTATATCAGTCACAGTAAACTTTCAGACTTTTCCGTATAAGTTTGAGTAATTCAGGGTTTACACTTCAGGAAATATCAGGAGAGTGGATGCACTAGGGTTTTGTGCAACACTGTTATTCCAACACTCTATTATGTTAGAGATCATTTCGGGAATAAAATATTTTCTGCCAAAAATCTCAGGACTATAAATAGAATTCTGCACCAATTTCATTCATTATTCAATTTTACAACTAGAGAAAAGCCATTTTCTCTCTCACAGATCTTCGGGTTTTCATCCCAAATCATGAGTACCTCTCTCTAGTGTGTTATATAGCTTATAATGTGTTCATAACATAGATTACATAGCTAAACAACTAGATTTAGGAGTTTACTCCCCAAGGTGTTCTTGGGCGGTAAACTCCCGAAACGATGCCTAGCCTTTCCCCCGTGATGTGTAACGAACTTAGGCTTGTGTAGAGGTTTAATTAAGACAAGAAAACATCAAAGAAACACCAAAGTTTAGGTGTTCACGGCCCAAGAATATCTTGGACCGTGAACTCCAAAAACATGGACCAAAGAGTGTTTTTAACACTCCTAAAGATTTAGACAATTACCTAGGTTTACTCCTACATAAATTAGGGACCTTAACACATCCAAAAACCCTCTTTTGAGAGTTTATGGCCCTAAGATTGTGCTTGGGCTGTGAACATCAAACTAGGGCACCAAAGTGTGCCTAAGGCCTTCATTTGCTTTAGGTAAAAGTATAGAAGCTATGCAACATGTGTATGAGACTTGAAAGCATCAAAAACACCCTTCCATAAGAGTTTACGGCAGGAAACTCAAAAGGATTTGGCCTTTGGGCCGTAAACTCCTCAAAGGAGGTTGTTAGTGTCCTAACCCCTTCCAAGAATTAACCCACAAAGTTGGAATGCTTCTAGGGATTATTTAACACCTTAAAACAACCAAAGACATTAAGCCTTGGAGTTTACGGCTGTAAACTCAAGAGTTTACAACCGTAAACTCCATGTGTGAGGTTATTTGGAGAGTAAACTCAAGTATAGGGTCCTTTGGAACCCTAAACCCAAGTGCCTTGTCCCACAATAGCTTAGATGCAATCCTTAGGGCTTATAACACTTATATAAAGTGTTTATTATGTTCTAAGATGTCTTAACACTATCAATTAGTAATTTAAGACTAATTGAGTGCATATATGTGTGATTA